AACTATTCTCCCCATTTCTGAGATCCTGTCAAAGGCACTTCAGTAATTACTTGCTCAGTGTTGTCGTTACTAAAAGCAGGGTGCTACCCTCCTCCAGTAAAGCTTTGACTGAAAATAGGTGTGACAGTTTGTGCTCAGAACTTAAATTACATTTAAATATGCCATTACGCTTAAATAACATAAAAGACACAAGGCTTTCAACAAGCCATCCTACCCAAAATCTCCCCTCCTCTTCATCTTGCCTCCCCGTAAACTCTTGTCATAAATGTTATCCATCTGAGTAAACTAAATGAATGTCCTCTCCTGGAAGCTCCCGTTAATACAGCGCTACATTAATTGAGAAAGGGTAACTTGGTTAACATGTTGATGTGCTATCAGTTAGTAATAAATCCCTTCTGGTTGTCAGACTGGTAGGAATGAAGAGATTAGCATAAGGGATCTGCAAGGCAAAAGGCAAAGAGTACAGTGAATGGTACCCAAAAGAGGCAACCAAGATCATGTTCACAACTGTACTATTCATCAGCCTTGCCTATGGTATGACACAGAGTTGAAGAAGTCGGGTTAGGAGGGAAGAAGATTTTGGAAAAATGGGTAGATGACAATCCCAGGAGCAAGACAGTCTACAAAAATTCTGGCCTGGTGCAGCGCACCCAAGGCATAGGTGCTAGGGACAAAAGCTCATTCGTCACTTACTTGTTCACAAGGTCAATTTAGTTTTGACTCTAAGACTTTTTCCCCTATTTTAACTTAGAGGAGCTTCATTTCTTCCTATGGAAAGGATTCACCAGTTACTAAGATGGAATTGGCCCAGTTCCAAAGCTCTGCAGTGTAGCAGTTTGGAACTTGGCCTCTAAAAACTGCAAGATTTGAGTTTGAAACTTACAGCAATTGCTAGCTGTAAGATCTTAAACGCAAGTGACAACTTCTTCAGGCCTGATTCCTCTTGTGAAAAGTGTATGTTATTTAGGACTGTTGTGAGAAAACAATGAGCTACTGTAGGTAAAGAGCTTAGCATTGTGCTAAAGTTGCTAAGATTAGCTATCTTTATTACTGTTGTCGTTGCTTTTTTAAATTATTGTCTATTTTTTTATATGAACAATTACTAGGCTGGGCCCAGAACTCAGCTGGTACCCACTCATTTCATGAAGTTACTTATATTAAAAGTAGGCCAAATCCTTTGATTTAGTCTGCATGATAACCAGATCTGAATCAAATCAGAAATGAAAAAGGCAATGAGTTTTCTGGGGCATTCATCCCAAAGCATCCACGTCCCAGTGGAAGGAAGTTCAAGTTACAAATAATGAATTTACATCATCAAGAATCAAGGGATTTGTGACAAGAATAGCTGAAACGGCTTTGGAATATAATCTATTATGCCTGTAACAGATTAATACCGATTCTAGCCTTTGCTTAAGCCAATTTAACAACAACAACCTGTGCTAAATGGACAACCAAAATAAAGAATTTATGCATAAAAAAACTAAGGGAAAGGGTTAGCATATTAGGTAATTCTTGAGAGTATATGTAGGCAGGGCATCAAGAGTTCATAGAAAACCATGTAATATACTTGGATTTATTGGGCAAACAGTGGCATATAAAGTTAAAAATACCATCATTATCTCCAAAACTGCCTGCAGTTTTCCATGAAAGTCAATTGATCCCTACTGGTCATTTCTAAAGGGACTAAAAATGAACACTGCAATAAGTCAAATGTTTTCTTTTTAAACATGATCATCATATTGTACACTTGATACTTACCCTGAGAGCTCAGACCTTCCCTTTCCCTGGTATAATTTTCATCTAAGCATTCCTTAGATACTTAGATCATTCTTAATGGAGATTGTGCCTTCTACCCTCTGTGGACACATGGAAACCTAGTTAATTGTACTGACTTGATTACAATAGTCGGTGAATTCTCCCAATTCCTTCCATTGCAATAAATGCTTAAGATTGTTTTGTCACCTATTATGTAAATATTTTAGATTGCAATCATTTTCCAAAACAGTGATTATAGGCAAAAACTATTTTATCATTCTGCCCATCAAATTCAATTCCAGTAATTTTAAAATGTTTTTCTTGTTAGTATAAAAACTGGGTGTCCTGTAAAGTTTGAAACAAACCTGTAGCATGGAGAGCTATCATTCAAATTATACAGGAACTGCAACTGAACATTAACTTTGAAATAAAGCAGCCTCTTTCAGCCTGGGTACACCAATCAGAATGGCATAGCTTTTAACAAAGGATGCATGAGGTAATGGGGTATCTACTCCCCAAATATAAATACCTGAAAATTGGAAAACACACTTTTGTTTTGAAAGCATCTTGTTTGCTCTTAACTGTTGTATCCCAGAAACACTTTTTAAATTATTTCCTTTCTTGGCCAAAACATAAGGGGTGTCACCAATGATAATTAAGTTAGTACTGTCTCCTTTAAGTGTTAGGATGAGTACTTAATGCCAATGGTTACTATTCCCATATATTATACCTGTCAAAATTCTTTACACTCTAATGAGTCAGCTTGCTGAAAATATATCCCATGCTTCCATTTGAAAGTATAAAACTAACAGCCGAGTAGGAAAAAGTTTACCCTCTGTCCCAGTATAAATCAGCAACGAGAAGAATTAGGGAAAACACTCCAGCTACTTGCTTTAGACACATACTTGCGTCTGACCTCTACTGCGCATAATCCATTCTTACGATGAATGTTCTCATCCCTAACACGACTATGCTGGGGAGTAGGAGAAAGGGATAGAAAAAAGGAGGACAGGACAATGTGTACATCTGAAAGATAACCCACTTCCTCCCAGTACACGAAAAACTCTTCTCATTCCTAGAGAGATTTCTCATCAAGGACAGTTAAAGAAAGTGCTTCTTGGAGAGCCGGCTCCGGAATGAGAGTGGGCTTTGAGAGGGATCCCTCCTGCCCTCTCCAGGCCTTAGTGAACTCTCTGTGCTGTGCACGGGTGCTGGTTACTCTTCGGAGGGCACAGCCCGGACACAGAGGTCTGAAATTTCAAAAATGCGATAAAGCCCCAGCCCGTCAGCCCCGGGAGGCCAGCAGCTGCCGGGTGACCGCTGATGAAGTGGCTTCTTAAGGAGGTGGGCAGATTGATTCCAGCTGCTGCTGCGCGGGGCAGGGCAGCGGCCCTGGAATGTGCAGCCGGGCTGAGCGAGACGTTGCAGCAGCTTCCCCACCAAGGGCAAGGCCAAATAATAGCTCTGTTTGCAGTCTCGGCCTCAAGAAGGAAGAATACCGGTGTTCTACCTGACAGGGACTTTCAAGGCGCTCTGGGCCACAAAGGTGCCATGTGGACAGGGTCATTTTATAAGTGAAGTGTCATTCAGGAAATACAAAAACTGCCCCCTGAGATGTCTGTTCAGAAGGGGCCCACAGTTCCTAAGCGTTCCTAAAGCAAATCTTTTCTGCCTGATTCCTGTTTTTCTCCCAACACACTCCCAGCACCAGTCCCTCTTCTAATAAGGGGTGCCCTGCCGCCTCTTCTCCCCTCCCCCGCACTCAAATACAATAATCAATACGCAAGAGAAACAGACAAGGAAGGGGTGTATTGGTTTAGTGGCGGGCCCTGAAAGTCCTGAATTGGATGGAGACCCGGCAAGAGGAGATGCTCTTGGGAGTGCTGGCCTCAAAGTCAGAAATTAAGGGGGTGGTACTAATTTAGGGGTCCCCTGAGCCCCAAACTCAGACACCAAGTGATCTAAGAAGAGGGGGGGAGGTAAGAGGTAGGCGGGCATGAAGGCACGCCTAATGGAATATTCAATATCCTGCAAAATGCACTTTGAGCCATGCACTTCCAGAGACTAAAAGCCAGTAATGGGCTTTGGAGTCTGCACTTCCTCTCCCTAATGTCCAGAGGCGCTTTAATGCTGCAGCCAATCGATCGGCCTTCTCCGGTGAAGGCGGCGAGTGGAGCGCAAAGCTTCCTACTTGTGGCCAAAATCGCCCGACCTCCTCTACACACCACGGACAAGAGACACAGAACTTTGAACGGGCAGCATTTGGCTCCTAAAGTTCCCAATAGAAAGAAGGGAAGGATCCTGGAGACACCGGAAAAATAGCCACCTCCCTCTTCATCCTATCAAAAGGAAGGCAAACCAGGAAGGGGCATTTTCCACCCAGGGACAGGGCTGACCAATAGCACCAAACCTGCTTCAGGTGCAAGGTCACCAAGCCGCCTCCAAACCCAGACCAGCCAGACCAAGGTGTGGCGTTTCTGGAAGGGACACAAAGCAAACCAAACGAACATCCAAAAAGTAGGGTTTCTTTGCAGTTTCTTGCTGGCATCACAGCGGCCTGGAAAGAGACCCTGTGAACCCCACCCCCACACCTCCATTCCGGAGGACGAATCCCTGAAGAGGAGAAGAGTCACTGTCCTGCCTCCCCCTTCCACTGCCCTTGCGCCCTCCTCTCAGGGCGTGGGCTCCGGACAAGTTCAGTCCCTAAACTGAACCCAATCCTGTCCAGCCTTCTTTCGCCCCTCCCCAAGAGGCACAAGGGGCCCCACTGAGCATGCCCCATGGCCTGGGTCTTGGGGTCGCCTCAGGGAAGCTCTCCGCACCCCAGGATGGGCAGGGTTCTGTCCCAGGGTGGGTGCCCCCACAGGGATGTCAGGGGTGCACAAAGGAAAGGCAGCATGAGTGCAGCTGGGTGCTGAGTGACCAAGTGAGCGGGCGCGAGAAAACTTTCCGTGGTTCTCCCCACCCCCACGCCACTGGGGCGCGTCTCCCGAAGGAGCTCGCCTTTCCCAGCCCGGCAGAGTCAAGCACAGCACGTGATGGGCAGAAATAAAAATAAACACTTCCCATTCCCGGGCCGCCAGGGCCACCCCCACTCCGTGCGTGCAGGAGAGTAGCCCTGTGCTGACCAGCCCCCGCCGCTGCAGCCGGGCCCCCAGACCCAGAGCCTCCGCCCGGGACCGGCATCCGGGCCCACCCACCGGAGTGGTGGCCTTCTCTCCGGCCCGCAGCGCCCTGGCGCCTACCTTTCGGATTTGGTGAACTTCCGGAATGCCTGTCGGAGGTCATGGAAGGACCTGTACGTCTGAGGCTCAGCCGAGATACCCTGCGCCCGGGTGGTCCGGGGACCGATGTGGGTCGAGGGCACTGGCAGCACCGACTGGCATTTGTGGAGCTTCCTCTTCAGCTCCTGAATTTCCTCCTCCTTTTCTGACAGCCGCTTCTCTAGCTCTTTGATCCTCTCCTCCTTGAGCATGAGAATCTTGGCAAAGTCTTCCTCCAGCTCGCTCATTTTTTTTTCCCTGAGCCCCTCCGCAAAACTTTTTCTCCAGCAGTAGCAGTGGCTGAGACGACAGCCGGGCGAGGCGAGCGCAGAGTAAGTGAGTGAATGGGTCGCTAAGTACTAGCGCGCAGCAGAGTACTGCCCCTAATGCCGCGCCGGGAGCCGCTTTCTTCGATCCACTTCTGCTGAATGGACTAAACGCACCGAGGGAAGGATGAGAAGTCTAAAAGCGATGGAGAGGAGAGGCAGAGTGCTAATCCCCAGCCTCTCCAGGGAATAGGTGATTATCTTTCATTGAGAAACCAATTAGAGCTGCCCTTCCTCCCCTGAGACCCCCTCCCTCGTCCCCCGTTCCCAATCACTCCGTGAGAACACCACTCGCGCCACCCCACCAAGAGCCTGGTTCCTAGCTGGGAGGGTTGGACCAGAGAGCCCGATCTCACCCCATCACACAATAATCACTCTTCCATGCTATATGGTACCAAAGAGAAGGGGTGGGGTGGGGTGGGGGTAGGGGGGAGCTTTATGCCACTTGATCCTTGAAATAGCAACAATTACCATGTGATCCGACAGATGACGCAGCGCTTGTAACTGGAGCCTAAAGACTGTGTGTGTGTGTGTGTGTGTGTGTGTGTGTGTGTGTGTGTCCATAAATATTAAACTAACTTTAGACAGTAATCTGCATAAATCTACCTTTGTTTTCACCTTTTTCTTCTCATCTGCTCTGGATAATAAGGGTGGGTGCATGCATATGCTTCTTACTGTGAAGTCCTGTGGTTATGACCCCAACTAATAAGAATGACAGGGCAATAGCAGTTCCAGGTTTTTTTCAGTGTAAAATTTTACTGGAAATAGTGAACTAAAATTGTTGGTGGGGAAGTTGGAGGAATATGCATATGGTAATGAGCCAAATGTTTACAAGAAAAGAGAAAGGCCATGCGTTAGTTGTAAGGTTCTTAGAGTCTAGATTTTATTTCATCTGCTACAGTTAAAAGTTGTATATAGAGCTTCCCAATTACATCACAACATTGCCATGGTTGTGAAGTGGTGGATGCCAGTGCTTAACTGCTGGCTCAACCTCCTCGCTCCAGTTTGGGGAAAAATAGCTTCTGTGATCCAGATTTCCCGCCCAGCTGTGCATCCGTCACCTCACCCTAGGCTAATGAGGTGTTTCTGCCCTTTGGGGCCTGAGTATTTGCTAATTTCTACACTGTTTTTTATATGTGTATGCAATTGGGGACATTTTTCATAACATAAATCACTATTTAAGAGTTTGAGTATGTGGGAGAAACATTTCTTTGGGTAATAATCAACAAATTAGTAAAAATTTTTAAAGGAAAAATATAGATCCCAACTAATATATGAAATTATTCTCTCTGAAATAGTAACTTTCCCTAAAAAGACAGATCAATGTATAATCACTGGCTACTTATTTAAAAAAAAATTTTTTTTTATACCTTGTCTGAAATACCTCAGTAAAGCAAAAGCAGGCACAGGCTTTTGTTTATAAATAAATCTTAATATATATTTCATTATAGGGTTTTCTTTATTATTTACTGTTAGTTCTACTCATCTGATTATTTTAAATTAAAGACATTTCAAACCACATCTGAATGTCTTAATTGCATCAGATGATGGAGACTGACTTTGTCTACTCGTATTCGAGAAAGGGCCCTCTGTTTTGTTGATAGTTACTATTCGGTTGCTTCCATATATGAATAACTTAATCTGCTATAATCCTTTTAGAAACACTCAAAATGATTGACATTTAAAATACATTAGAAAAATAGTTTTTTCACATGCAATAATCTAGGCATAGGTTCAACTTTATGGAAGAGCCATAGATTTTGAAGGACACTTAGATTTTTTCAAGTCTCACACTATCTTAAGTGAAGATATTATTCAAATGCTTCTCATGCTTATTTAAAAAACGTTTAGATGAAGATTACACATACATACTCACCTCAAAACACTGAATTCATCCATACCTTATAAAATTAATCTTATTTTTGAATAAGTCAGTTTTAACTTAAGTAATGTTGACACCTGACATTAAATTTTAGACCATTGCCATAAGAAATATTTCAAGTACAAGGGACATTTGAGAAAAGACAGCCTTGTAGAAGAATATACCTTGAATTATTTAAAATCATAGCATTTTAGAGTTGCAAGCAACTTTGAAGATGAGGTAACCCAACATGCTCATAGTATAAGAGGGGAAGAGGAGATCTTGAAAGGTCAAGTCCAAGATCACCTAAGGGCAGAAGTTTGAATCCAAGTTGCCCACAGAGGGTACTTTCCCTACCATATTGCTCTTAATCTGAAACCTGATAATTTAGAAGTTCTACGATTCTGACAATCTAGTGTTCAAAGATGTGACTTTACCCTTTTTAGTTTGCATCAGTAAGTTTCAACTATCAAAACAAAAGTATTTATTTTTTTTTCCTTAAAGGAGAAGGTCGCCATCTAGTGCCCTTGGAGAAATTTGCTAAATAAAAATCTTAATCACAAAGAAGTGAGATACAGTCCTTAAATACCTGTAAGAGCCTCTTCACGTTTCATATTTGAGACACATAAAAAAAAAAATAAGCAAAATTTGGTGTCACAGTAAAACACATTTAAAAATAAAAACTTTTAAATATTTTAGCCACTGGACAATAATGACAGTGATGGTAAACATTTACTGAACGTTTAATGTGAGCCAGCACAGGGCTAACCCCTTTATGGGACTAAATGGTTCTCATCCTCATGGTGAGTCTATAAAATAGATAGCATCATTCACTCCCATTTTGCAGATGGGGAAACTAATGCTTAGCCAGATTAGGTAATTTGCCCATGATCATAGTACCCAGATTTGGCCCAGGCTGTCTTAATCCCCATGCAGCACTGCTTCCACCTGAAATGCACTCAGGTGTCCCCCTGTCTATCAGCCCAATGACATGCACACTAAAAGTTCTTTGTTAATTAGGACGCACTAAATTTAAAATCCCATAGAAACCCTGATGAGTTTCTAAGTGTCTGGCTTCTCAATAATCAATATCTTCCCAAGGTGGTTTTTTTTTTAATGATACTTTCCTTATTTCATATAATTTCAAATAATTCATTTTTTTTAAAGTACATGTACCTTCAAATGTTACGATGGCATTTTCCCTCAACCATAAGGAACACTTTTCTAAAGAACACCAAGGACGCAGGTTCAATCCCCAGTCAGAGCACATCCAAGATTCAGCCAATGAATACATGACTGAAACAAAAAATCAGTACTTCTTTCTCTCCCCCCTCTCTCTTTTTTTCTTTTTCTCCCTCTTCCTCGCTCTCTAAAATCAATCAGTAAATTTAAAACATGTAAAGAACCTGAAATTCCTGTTCTTCAATCTAGGTCACTGTCATAAAAATTTTTTTAAACAATAAAACTGACTAAAACTCAGTCCACTTTTATTGTTGCTATATAACCAGGAATTCTAAACAATGTCGGTGGTAAGACACTCCCCTCCTCAAAGGTATTTTATTGGTCTAAGTTCAAGCAATTTCTGCATTTACTGTTGAGCAGGTGGACCACTCCCATCGCCCCACTCCTGGAACAACACTGACCTTGCTGCACGTTCCAGGGATCCAGAGCAAAAGTAAAAATAAAAATGCAGATAGGCAGGGAGAAAAAATTCAAACCATCTCTCTGTTTTTAACATCTTACAGCCAAACATCTTTCTTGGTTACAAAAATGACTAGTATTTGTGGAAAACTGCATGTAATACATTTTCCATCAAGGGATACAATCGGTGAAGGAAGAGGACTGGACTTGGAAGCAAAAAATATGTACTTATGTCTCATTTCTATCACTTCCTCAGCGGTGTGCTCTTCGGCAAATCCTTAAACTTCACTAGGAATCACTTTCCCCATTGCAAAATGGGAAGTGGGAATCACCTGGGGTTCATTTCATCTTCCCCACCTTCAATGATTGTGTGGAATTGGGCTTTCCCTGTGACTCATATGTTGAAATTATCAATCTGTTCTTACAGATAACATTCATTCATGAACCTCAGCTGAGTTTAAAAGGTTGCGAAGAAAGAAATAAGATAGAGTCTGCTTGGTCCTATAAAGATTACAGTGAACTTTGTGGTTAATAGAAGCTTGGAGTATTTTCAGTTAATTTTACATTTTACTGGATTTGGCTTTACCATTGTTACCTAAACCATGTTTTTGTGACTGTAAAGTGTGGTCACACCTTGGGCAAGATAAAGCTTTAAGTCCTGAAACATACCCACATGTCTGTTAACCACTGCACAGAATGTGAAAAATAGCAAACAAAGTTAAAGTCGCCTCAGTTGAACAAACTTCAAAATTAGTCAATTTCCATTTACTTAAGTTATATAACAAGTGAGTTTTTTTTAAATATGCCCCAAAAGTAAAACATACATAAATGATTTCCTATTGATGTAAATGGAGATCTTTCTCATGATGCAGCAAGACCATTGCCTTTTATGATTTTCTGTAATATCTATCTACAGGTTTGAAAACAATTCTTCCCCAAAACTCTGAAAGGTAAAACTAACAGAAGATGGTACTTAAATATTGTAGGAATCAAATTCCACAATATATTAATACTCTTGGACTTGGAATATGGAGACAGAGATGCTGTGGGACTTAAGGCAAATAATTTTATTTCCTGGAGCCTCAGCTTTCTCAACTATAAAGTGGAGATATGAGTTCCCTGGCTGGTGTGACCCAATGGAGTGAGTGCCAGCCTGCAAACCAAAGGGTTGCCAGTTCGATTCCCAGTCAGTGCACATGCTTAGGTTGCGGGTCAGGTCCCCAGCAGGGGGTGCTCGATAGGCAACCACACATTGATATTTCTCTCCTTCTCTTCCTCCCTTGCCCTCTCTCTAAAAACAAATAAAATCTTAAAGTAGAGATATGAATAATAAATTCTCTTGCACCTGGGCCTTTAAGGTTAATATAAAGTAAGATGAAAACAAGATGTCATTATTTAAATATGACCCTATAATTAAAATGACAATGTATCGTCATTTCAATTCTTGGCAGGAAAGAAACTCAGCAGGGGGCCAGAGCGGATAGTCTTGGTGGTGGTGGTGGTGGTAATATTTATATACGTGCACCTTCTCCAGTTATTCAAGCACTACTCAAAGTACTGCTGTGAAATTATTTTTGCAAATGTTATTAAAGTACCATGTCAGTTTGTTGACTTTAAGGTAAAATCAAAAAACTGACTTAGGACTTCAATTACATTTTGGGTGGGCCTGGCCTAATCAGGGAAACCTTTAAAAGGAATTGGTATCTATCTGAAGAGCAGGG